ATAACTAGACTTCAGTGATTCTTTAAACTAAATATGTCGGAGGAGCTCCCTAATCCTCCTTCCATACAGGATCCTTTCTCATCTCACACAACGCTTCCTCACGTTTTCAAGACGTGCGAAGAGGTCGAAAGAATAAGAATGAAGTGTAGTCTTAAACTTCTATCTGCATACCCAGAAACAAAACCACATTCTGTTACAAAGCGGAAAATGAATCACAATTTATAGTAAGATTTTTTCGATACGTTCGATTACTTTTTGTGGTCAATATGGATGATCATGAATGTACATAGCCTGAAGTAGACAAATGTGACGTCAAGCATCATTAAAAAATACTTTCCGTTCCCCTTGAAGATTGCACCCATTTTGACCAAGTCTGTATATATATACCCCAAGTACGTGTGTGAGTCCGTCTTTAGACGGACCGCTGTAAAGTAGTAGAGTTCATATGAATAAATGTCCAAAAACTCAAGTTCTGGGTTTTTCGGTCTCTGCTCTGTTTGGCCATTTTTTTAATTTCATCTGGCTTTTGGGTTCTAGCCCGACTAAATCTCACAGCGAGCTAGTGAGCTTGGAGAAAATGGTTAACGAGAATTTAATTCGGAGAGTTGTAAGATATGAAGCGTATTAGCCGAATGCTTCACAGAATTTTCGCCTTTTTTTTCAAAGGATGGCAACTCTAATTATGGTAGAAAAAATGCGGAAGAAACAAAGAAAAAATATTGCTATAAGTCTTCAACGGCGAAAACATACATTGATTTTAGCAATCGAAAATCGAACAGGCAAAGAGGAAAACATGTTTTTTGCTTCCCTTGCTATTGATGCAACTTTTCCAAACTTTACTTCCAAAAATTTGCGTTCATGCCACACGTTGCCAAGCACAGTGTTGCACTATAGTGTGTGGGTAATGACTTTGCGGAAGAAGCATACTCTTGCTCGCTCGGCTTTTTGTTTACCACAAACATTCATCGTTGGGAACCTTAATTTTCCCATTTTCTGCACCAACGCACACTAAAGCGTTTTTCAAAAATATATATACTTTTACTACCATATATACATAGGCACAGAACAGCCAAAACTCATCCTATACAATTCCCTGCCAATCGTCATCGCGACCACAATAGTGCACTGTCCGTAAGATTTTGCTAGCCTCTCTGCTTGCTTGCTGAAAGTAGACTCAAAACTTGATGAAATTCCAAGGCTAGCGGTGGCGGTGTTCGAGCGGTTGGTTAACAGAATTGCATGCATCAGGCGTTGTCGATGCGTCCTTTTCAAGGCTGCTGCTCGTGGTTGTCGTGCAACCAAAGTTCTGTATTTTCCATTTTTTGTTTTGGTATGTGAATGTGAATGAAACTATATAGTTTTATTGCCGTCATTGCAGCTTGCTGTTGACGAGCCAAAAATTCAAATTATCAACGAGAAATGAGAGTTTGCCTGTCATGTCGTTTGGTCGCTCGATCGCTCGGTTGGCCGCCTCGAAACATGCAGGATGCAATTAAAATCTACTATGTTTATGTTTAAACGAAAACAACTGCTCACACATGCATCCAATATATACAACCGTACATGGCATGTTCTGTGTGTATGCGTAATGTGAATATTGCTGATGAGTTTGTTTACTTTTATACCTGGCTTGGAAGATAGTAGGAGCAGCCAGGTTTATTCATCTAATGGTTGTGTAGGCTAACTCTGGTTAGATGCTTCAACGCTTTTTTCAATCTTAAGAACACTCCGACTTATAGCTATGAGACTTCTACTAATGCTCTATAGTGCGTAGCGATTAGATATCTGAGAAGTCCTCTAACGTGGATCTTATACATACTTCCCAATATATCCTGCATTTATCTTCCACAGTAATGCCAATTTTGCACGTGAAAATTTCATGGCTGCCTATTGCTGAGCTTAATTTAAATTTTAATCGTTAAATAATATAAGGGTGATAATTATCTCAGCGACCTTCGTTGGTCGTTCGAGGGGTCTACACATACCTAATTCATCTTAATTCATCCGTATTTGGCTGCTGGTTAACTATTTTGTATTATTTTGGCCGCTTTGCATACCAACATGTGATGTGCTGCTGACGAAATATTAGTATATGTATAGGAATATATGTGAGATACTAGTACACATAGTTAAGTACATTTCCTCATCATCCTGATCATAGAATTCTTGTTGGTTTAACTACGATTTAACAAATGTTAACTGCAGTTACTTCAAGAGGCATATTGGGAAAAACTTCCGATCCTTCCACTTGTGAGAAAAAACTTTTGAGCTCGTCAAAAAATCGCCCTATATGTGATGGTTCAGGCATGTTGTCATTCCTCTTTATTTGATGCAGGTCAAATTATCTCTCGTCTGTTTCAATTCGCAGACACAAAGATAGTTCAGTGAACCATGTGGCTGACGATCTAGGAAAGCTCGTATTATAAATATCAGAATAAAAATAGTTTTTGCGCACAATGTGGTCGAATTCTTTCCTCATCAGATATTTTTTAAGATCTGCCATTACCAATACAATTTGATCAAGCAGATCTGTTATTTCGCCAAATAGAAAACTTAACTTAAAACCTGAAACTTTTGCGTCGCCAATATTGTAGAATTAGATTGATCTTTTAACGGATCAGTCATCAATTTTGCAGAACAATTAGCTTAACAATGAGCTAGCTAGATATATATGTGTTCTTGATTACGGATCAGCGATTAGGTAACCACAACAGCTGGCTATCAGAAGGCTCCTTTCTATATTTGAATTGCCCAAATTATTTCAACTACGAATTTAAGACTTATTTTCATAAAATGAATATGCGTCACATCATTTTTCTCGATCTACAGTAATATTTTACCATGTAATAACATCGATCCCATAGTTTGACGCAATTTTCTTGTCAACCAAAGGCTATACTCCAGCGTAATTACGAGCCACAAACTGTTATTTTATTTATTGGTGACTTCTAATGATGACAATTGCAATACTTACTGGCAACCTGCCTGGAAGGAGTAAAAATCTTCACCTTTTCAATTTTAAGCTTATAATATTCACCTTTTTTTGTACTTGTGTGATCGCAGATTTAAGCACTAATTTGATGGCTTTTGTTGGTGTTTAAGTTCTAAATGGAAAACGTTATGGTGGTCCTGTGGTTAAATTTTTAGTAATTTAACACGACCGAGGCGTGGATTTGAACTGTAGTGATGAATCACTCTAGTTTAAAAGATTTTCCTCTCAGGGATTTTTTTGAGTCTAATTGCGTTGTAACTCGCTTTAAAGTTCAATAAAGAAGTCTCTAGGGCTTTAGTGAGAGTTAGGTCAGACCGATAGTTTGTATTTACTTAGTTTGCTGTTGAAATAGATTTGGTCAAGTGCCAGCCTACAAATTCAATTTTTCGTAGCTAGCGATGAACAGTATCGTCTCTATTGTTTAAGAAGAGAAAACAAACTCATCTCGATATAAAAGCGAGTTCGCTGGTTTATGTTGAAAATACACAAATGTACGAACTTATATCTTAAAATATTTTGGACTAGTTACATATATAAGGCTGTTCTGAAACTCGATTCATCAGTAACAGAAAGGAATCAATTCAGAAAATTTGTATATATTATATATATATATATATATATATATATTAGCTGAACTTGAAAAATATTCATTGGGCAGATGTTATTGCCTCTGCAAGCTATTATTTTACTTTATTTTACATAATATTGATTGAGCGATCATCTAATTTTATTAAAAACTGAAAATAAAAATGTTTGAAAAAAATGCAAAACATGTTTATACATATAAATTTTAATAAATCCTTCAGGAAGTAACCCAACCTACGCACATTTTGTAATCTTTATTTACTTAAAATGTCAACACTTCATAAATATTAATTTTATTTTTTCGCTCCCGTCATTAAAGAGCATTTAGCATTAATTTATATGCCCCGAAGCAGTTAACAAATAATATGTGCTCAAACACAAACAAAAACAAATTTGCTGGTACAATATTTTTCTGTAAAATGCAAGTAAATTGTTTTAAAAAGCGTTTGTATTTTTTATGCAATTAATGCACTTTATATGTATAATTACATGTATGTATATATACACATACGAGTAAAATAGCTCGTTTTTTAACTTTTTATTTAATTTTCAATTAATTTACACTTGTAAGTCAACACTATGAACCGGAAATTCAAAATCCAGGCGGCTTTATTTGCAGCAATGTTTTAATTAAATGTAGTATATTACATTTAATTCGTTTGTAAAGGAGTATGAAACGGTAATATCATGGTTACAGGAGCGAAATTAATAGCATTTATGTACGTATCAAATTCAAGCTGATAAGTACAGACAGGGACTAGATGATTGGCACAACTAAATAAATTTTCGAAAGAATATATATGCATATGGATAAAAAAAATGCTAACGGCAATTTTTACAATCAATTTAACATCTCAATTGTTAACTGTCTAGTTATAAACAAAAATTTGGTAAATATAACCAATAGAAAATCGGGCCCAAAACAACTATTGCACTTAATTTTAGTAAGTCAAACGATATAAGTGAATTTAATTTTTTGCAAATAGATAAGTTCCAAGTGTACTTCACGAGATTTTTATCTTCCCCCTCCAACTTTGGGATTTTTGCTACTAGCGGTTTAGGCTGTGGGTTAAAACGTCACACTCTCCGGGCAAAGCCGTTTAAATAAATGAAATGTTCTCGTCGATTTGATCATATATTAGCTCACTGTTTTAGACAACATTTGAAGCTACTTAAGTTTGAAGTGAGACCCGAGTCTATTCATTGCAGCTTTCCATTTCAATTAGGTGTTGATACGTACTGCCATTCGGAAGGCTAATCCTAGCACGACCATACCAAAAAAAATTATAGGAAATAAACTTAAATAAGAACAAGAAATTAAATTTATGACACTCGACATTTGCACTAAAGCGAAGCAGTTTTCATGTTTTGTTCTATATCCTTTTTCATATGTTTACATTTTTCAATTTAATTTTATTTGCAGAAGTTAAAAATCACATGTTACCGACCGGCGAACTTTTGGTGTACAACATCACACGCACCGATGCGCACAGAGTTTATCGCTGCCGCACACATCACAATCTAACGCAGGACTCCGTTGTGAACAGCAAAATTCAATTGACTGGTAAGTTAACTACAACACATACAACAACAACGCAGAGTAGGGTAACTTTAATAGGGGGTGCAGGGAATATGAAGCATTGGCGAATCCATGTACGCTTGACCTCACTTTTAGTAGGTGGAACAGTCAAGTAAGAGAATATGTTGAGGTGATTGTTATGAAAAAAGACATGTCAAATAAACGAATATACATAGAGAGTGTATGTTGAGAAAATTTAAAATGTAGTACCGAGTAATATAGGCAGAGAACAAAAAATTGCTTTTTGACAGCTATGCAAACTCCATTTTTTAGCATTTAATAGAACCATTCCGCTACTTTCGATATTTGAATTGCTAGGTTTATAGCAACTCCGCAATAATATGCAATAATTAGTTGCTCATACGCAGTGGGTTGTTAAGTGGCATTTTGTCTGCATACAGTACTGTGCAATACATCAGCAACATTTATTGAGAAATTCAACAATTACATATCATAAAATTTAATTTGCCGTACATTTATTTAAGAATCAGTACTAACTGTACATCTTTTCAACAAAGCAGGAAAAATTATGGGCCAATGTTACAAATCTTATTCGGTCTTGCTTCTTCACTGACTACGCCGTCGAATTACTTTTATTTTTAAATTAATTAAGCCGAAACAAATTTAAATTTCATACAAAATATTAATACTTATTTTATAAAAGTAAAAGTAATTCATTTATGACGCTAGTTATATTGCTTCCACTGCTTTTTCAGTTAATATTAACCTTCAAAAGAAATCTGTTGAAATTCCGTTCATTTCGATTCATAAGTTGTTGATTAATTCTTCTTATAGTGATACTTCTTTGTCATTTCAAAATTGTTTATCGAGTCTAAATCTTACACTGTTTCTTGCGAGGGAAAAAATACCGATCTGTCGAGGCAATGGCTTAAAGAGTATTACAAGTACTATGCTCCACCCTTAAAAACAATAAAACGTTGGCTTTCTAACTTCTACAACGGAAGGTACGGAACGTAGTGAACATCCAAATGAGGTCAGAGCGCCATAAAGAAAAAAAAAAACTAATTATAGGCCTTCTCGTGAAGTATGCTCATATCAAATATACCCGCCACATTTATACATTAAAATGACCTTGGATTAGTAAACATAAATGGTATTAACCAGATTAAACGATCCAAATAGGAGCGTCCATCGATTGGCCCACAGACCTTTTTTGAGTCCTAAACAAGAACCTCAAGCCTTATTGCAAAGACAGAGAAAAACGGCTTGGAACTGCTATATGATTCTTTTCTAAAACCAACGGAAGTAACTAACACTTCAAATACTTGGATTTTTTAAATCAAATCCTTTCTTTTTGAAGTCAAAGTTTTTGAAAAACCCAAAATAATGCAAACTAGTACTTGAGTTTTTTGGTTAAACGATAACATGTTTGAACTGTCCACATCGGATCACTATAGAGTGCATACAACCAATTTTTCCATTCCGTCAGACAAGCGTCTTATAGTGTGAAATGTCATTATATAATATTTACTTCCGTATCAATCGAAGTTGCGTCAAAAAGAGCATCTGGGGGCGGGAAATTCAAATACTTATTGATCCTGAAAATATAATCTTATTTCCAATAACGAAAAGGAACATTTTCTTCTCTTCCATATACCAGGCCTTCTATTTTAAGGCAAGCATCAAATTATAGGGTTCAATTGAGCTAAATCTTAGTTACTTTTTAAACTTGATTTTTTCAGAAAATAGTAAAATTTATATTTTTTGTACAATATCTTATTATATTTGATTTTTATTTTATTTTTTCCTACAATTTAATAATATTTTTCTGATAACAAAGATGCCCAAACAATAAGTCTCTTCTTGATAATGAAGTTTCGGATCGTGGTGTATTGCTTTTTATCGATTTACCTTCATTAATCAGGGTAATTTTACCATTCCTAAAGCTTATACATACCATGCTTCCTTACGGCGAAATGGTGGTGGTTTCAAAAATCTCTACACATTTTATATTCTATATGATTCTTTATTTCGTCCAAAGCTTGGAATATGCTCATCCGAAATGAAATTTGTCTCAACCATTCGTCTAGATCTGAAACGTCCAACGTAAGATTATTCCCTTCTTCTCGCTCCAATTCATTTCACTGATGACCTACATACCTTCTTATACTTCTCGATGTATGCTTTTAAATCTTAAATTACTTATGTGATGTTTCAATCATTTCTACTTATTTTTGGCATCGTAAATTGGTTAATGGTTTGTCCGGAGCTTCTCACAGATCTAATTATTAGAAATGTTATTTTGTTTAAGGAATTATATAAATATCATGGAGCCTGGATTTTATTTTCAGATCCCCTACTCTTTTCGGGTCTATTCTTGAAAATTGATGTACGTAGTTCATAAAAATAGTTTTAAGTATATAATATATCTTAGTAACTGCTTGTCTTTTTTTAAGCAAGTACTAGTATATCTACTCTGTAAAGTTTATAAAACCAAACAGCCAATAGATATAAAAATTTTTTGAAAGAAAAAAATAAATAATTACTTAAACTCTGCAGTAAAGTTTGAGTTATGGGTGGAAAAACCTTAGAAAAATAATGTTTTTTTCTTGGTATGAATTTTTAATTGAAAAAGTAGTAACGAGATTTGCACCAACACAAATAGTAATAAATAATAAATCAAAGCTTTCTCAGTAAAGCAGAAACAGCGATTGCCAATTTCTTGAACAAGACTATATATGCGGGTGATACGCTTCACGTTCACCGATTATGGATTTGGTAATGCTGCGGCATGTTAATTATATCGTCAAATTAATTCGCGTTCCCTTCGAGCCATACTAGAAACAACATATGTATATGCAAATACCTGCTAAGAGTGTGCACTCGAATTGCTTAAAAGGCACTCATTCGCTCGCCACATAAACCAATGCAAATGAACCAAATTGCCTATACATATATATGCTAATACATAAATTAAAACCAACGCAAACTTTTTGAGAAGCTCCCGTAATTGCTGTTAATGAATTTTAATTTTAATTTTATTTACATTGAATTTTTAGCACTTTTTGCTTTTTTTGGTTTATTTATTTAATTTATTTATTACTCTTTAATGTTAATATTTATTATCATACAATGCAGTTGCACAACTTTTATTATACTTTACTAACTATTTTTCTCTATTTCATCTCTTTAAACGGTTTCCGCAGAAATTCGTCGCCCATCATGAATGAGAAGACTAGTGCCGTGCGTGGCCTATGCCAACCCGAAGAGAGTTTATCGGTAATTATTTTGCAACCATAAACATTATATATATATTTTCTTCTCTTTGATTTTTGCACATATGAATATCAGTGTATAAATACTATAAAGCCTGCGTCACAGTTTTCAGGAGCTCTTATTTCACGACGAAAAGCAATATTTGTGTATATAAATATTTATACTAGATAAAATGTTTGACTGTTTTTAAGTGTTGTTGTGATAGATTATTCTTAAATACATCACTAAAAGTTATTCTTGCATGATGGTGGTAATGGAAAAAAATTAATTTTAATATTTAACTATGTAAAACGGATATTTAGGGTCTTTTACATTGCGTAAATTTTTTTCTTGGCTGGTCTCAAACTCACATCTCTAAACGGTTGTTCGTTCGCTATCACGAAGATTTTTTATTTAATTCGATAAATCGTGAGCTATTCACCTTTGTAAAAAAATCATTTCAGGTCATTGTCAGGCTTTGATCACCAATCAAAATCATTTCCAACTTACCATGATCATCCACTAATGAAGACTTATATCAACATAAAAGTTATAGCTGTAGGCAGTGACGTGGAAGTTATTTGATGGCAACATATAATTCGTCTTGTGCTCATTCACTACCATAACCATTGACATCGTTTCCTAAACCTAAAGCTAGCGTCGCGGTCATTAAAGCCAGGGACGCCTGACGGATAAGTTCTGCAGGGATAAAAAATTCAGTTTTGAGTGCATGATTTTAATTGGGTCAGCGTATATAGTATTATTGTGGTTTATTATCGCATCAAATACTGAAAAATGAATTCTGTTGGGAGACCCTGACTGAATTGGTCCGTTGTCACATATTATAGGGATTAGGATCTCACACACTAAAATTAAGTAGGCTGGAGAAGTGTTGCCGCCATGTGCTTAGTATGCTTTGATCATTGGTTATTACATCGCATCCAAAATGAGTATGTACCGATTTTATAATCCTCTTAAAGAAAATTAATTTCATGAATTTTTTACTCATTACCCTCGTCGGTCTGCCTTTTAGGCTATAGCATTCCGGCATCTTTCATTTTTGTCTACAAAATCATCTCGTTTCAACTCTCGATATACCGCAGCGGAGCAGACAATGCCTTTTCTCTCCACTGCCGCACGATAATCCTCGTCATCCTTTTGAAAAACACAGTTTTGTCGATGAATGCACGTAAAGAGCTGAAAGTGCTCTTGATATGGAATTTTTTATTAGTACTCTCAGAAAGCAAACCGAGCAGAATTATTTGTTTTGATTGTATTTTTTTACGCCTACTTAACGTACCTATTGTTTGTTCGATATGAGAACCGCAGTTAAATACATCGCAGACAAACTAGCTATCTACCGCAAATTATCAATCTGGTTGCAGGTTTTTCGAGCATAAGAGAGCCAAGTAGCCTGATCAATTTTCTTACGCTAGAATGTAGTGCTACAGACAACTGCACTACGATGTTTCTTTTCTCTGTGCTTGAGGCAGGCCAGCACTCAACTGGATATTTTTTTGCACGCTTTCTTAAATCACAGTTCTAAGCTACGATCCCCTTTAAAAGTGGAGTCTCTCAGCAGAGTCTAATGTCTATTTTCCATTCGTTTCTACATGCCGCGAACCAAAAACTGCGAACAACATGGTTGCATTTAAACTTGAGATACAAATATGTATACCGCGAACCACTTGATTTAAGACCGACAACCGACCGGCGCATCTCTACCGCTGCCAAAAACATTCTGGTGAAATGTTAAGCCCAACATATCGAATATACTAAAACTCAATCTCATTTATTCGATAATCACATCCCTCCAAGGGTTGCGCATGTTTTCAGTTGATACCATCAGCACGCAGCAGTAGTAATTTTGAATATTCGTGCAACTGCAACTGCATACGTAGAAGAAGAGGTGCATCACATTTCAGTCCACGACGGTAGATGATCTAAAAAATTGAAACAAGTTTGGTAATGATTAGTGGGCTTACACATGGGAATCTTATGAGCTTACACATTGGCTTTAGTGTGATCAGGTTCTCAACAATTTGTTTTGGTTAAATTTAAAAACACAAAGTCCTATGCGATTACAATCCCGCTATCAAATTTTAGAACTATCGGCTGAAGTGGAGACGGGAAAACGCAGAATAGTTGAGGATAGGTAAGACGAAATTTATTGTAGCTCTAGTGAAGACGAAAAGTGACGAATAGCCACGTTTGACCAAATTAATTATGGTCAATGATTGGACTTCGATGTTATGGCTGAATCGCGAATATTAAGTAATCATCTGGGATGCACGAAGAAATCGGTCCGATTTAAACGAGGTCAAAAAAGAGGTTCTAGTGCATTTTGCTAAACAAATTCCTAAAAAAATTGGAAAATGGTCAGTCTAGAACCTTTATTAAAGTGATTACTGGTGGAAAATCTTGGTGCTATAAGTGCAAAAGGCAGCAGCAAAAGTAATGATGTCAATTTACTTCAACCTTAGCTGCTATTCCACTGGAGAAGAGTCAGACCGTAACTTCAAAATGATACAACGAAGTGCTTACAAAAATTTCACAAAACTTTGCTTGGAAAACAAGAAGAAAGAAGATTTGCGGCGCTACTTTTTACATCACGACAACGCGCCATCCCAAACTGCTAAAATAACGAGTGATTTTATTGTGATATCTGTGATTGAAGATCCGCGGATATAGCACTTTTTGAAAAAAGATAAAAAATAAAAGGTCTTCAATAGCAACGAGGAGATAATCAATGCTGTTAATGCAAAAAAACAAGATTTTGAAGACTGTTTTCAGAAGTTGATCTATAGGGTTAAGAAAAGCTACAAAATCAATGGCAATTATTGAGAAAAGATAAAAAAGGAAAAGATAACGAATAAATTTTTTTTTCTGGTCACCTAATCGAACTTTTGTTAATCCCCTCGAATGAAGAGAAATTAATTAAACTTAAATTTTTATCAAGATTTCACAGTAATATTTGGGCAATGTGCTCAAAATAATATAGACGATTTTATTATTTCAATTAAAATTGTCAAAATGAAATGAACGTCGAATGATCAGAATTTATAATTTCTACAAGAATTTATAATGGGGAGAGCATGCACAAACCATTCAGTCCTCTCGTTAAATATAAGGGAAGGGCACTACTTGTACTTGTGTGTATATGTGTAATATGAAATTTTCCTATATACTGAAATGCATGTGTGAGAATGCCATACATATTTTGGTACAAATTGCTGCATCAAATAACCCAAGCTTACACAAAGCAATGTAAACCAAACTGGGTTAGGCGTGCCAAAGTATGGGGAATATGGCGGAAAACCACCGCACGGGAAATAATTTAACACACATGACTGCTGCTGCTGTCCCATACACAGTCAACCGCCAACGAATATTGAACGCGCAACACAAAGCGAAAATGTAAAAAGCAGAAAATTAAGAAGCAGAAAAACTAAAAAGCAGAACGGCATAAATAAAACAATAAGCAAATAGGAAAGCAAAAACAAGAAAACCAAACAAAAAATAATAAACAGAGGGAAGGAAAGCATGTGAGTAAAAAGAAAATTAAATGCATGCAAAAAAAAAGTGGAAATCTAGAAAATGAGAGATGTTTGTAAGGGCAGAAATGAAAAAACCACAGGCGACAGTGGAAATACTTAACCTTGCCGTTTGGTCGAAAGGCAACGAAGCCAAACCTAACCAACCAACTAGCCAAGCAAGCAGTCAATTGAAAACGAGTATGGTGATATTCCCAACTCCGCAGCACTGTGGCGGTTAGATGCCGACGGCCACCGACTTTTGCGTATACGTAACATACCGAAAATATGTGAGCCTAAATGTGTGTGTGAGCGCGCGTTTGTTTATATGAGATGACAAGACGTTCTTATTTATTTGTGTATTTGTGCTAAATGTGAGTTGAGACAGCGGGCAATGTGGGCTGGTGTCTACGTGCACGTTCAGTTGATACGCTCGAGTACATTGACATGCAATATTTTAATATGCCCCGGCAACCAGGCAGCGTAACAGTAGAAACAACAACAAGAACTACCTGTAATAACGACCACAAAATACCCTAACCGGCGACATGCAACATTCTTAGACCAAACAGTGTGTGGTATGGATGTATGAAACAAATAATGCAAAACCTGCGTTAACTCTTAACGCTGTCTTTGTTAGAGTGAGAGCATATTACAGTAGTATCTAATATTCTATTCTGTAGGCACAGCTTATCTGAGGATATGAAGATAACATTCAAGGAATCACCATGAAGCTGCTATGAAAATACTTTTCAATAAACAGACAGCAAGAGGGTTTTCTGCTAGACATGGACTCCTGCTCTCTGTTAGCGCTTGTAAACAACTAGGATTGAGGAACCTGCGGGAAGGTATTTCGAGCTCCCTAATTGCCTCTGCTAACGAAGCTATAGAATTCGGAAAATCCTAAAAACAGCTTTCGTGACGAGGACTGCTGTGTCGCAGTGGAAAGAAAGCACACGGTTTACCTCGCAACGTTGTGATCGACCACTACACGGGCGTAATGGGATAGATACCGAGCATTGTAGAGGGAACCAAGACAACAAAAAAAAAATTGTGCCGAATAGAGGGCGATTATTCGAGCGTTCAAAACCGGAGCACACTTTTGTAGAACCTAGAGAGCTAGCCCAGCGAACAATTCCCATAGTATCTTAAATGAATAAAGAGGACACTTCATTAGCCTGCTGAATGGCTATGAGAGTGCAGCATCAGAAGATGGTGGACTCGATTCCCCAACCCATGACGATCAAACCGGTGTTTCGTTGTCCAACTATCGAGAAGTTCGAATAACATTTGCCTGCTTAGAAAATAACAAAGTTTATATTGTCGGACGAGCTATTCAATAACGAAGGTGAAAAGCTAACAAGAAGCCTGGCCTGGATGATCTTTTTTGAAAAATAGTGGGATAAGCCTTGTCAATATCGCATGTAAGGCTATATCGGGCGTATTATGTGAAAAATTAACGCCCATCATCAACAAACTCCAGCAGTAACCTGCCCAAAGACCAAAAAGAACTAGCTCTATGCCAAATTTACAATATCCTGGAAAATTATACAATTAACATCATTGGCCTCAAACACAGTGCTGAAATCAGAACTCTCCAGACTTGATAATAAAGCGAGGCATATTGGCCTGGTAAAAATTTGTAAAGTTAGTCATACAAGCTTTTACAGGAGCAGCTTCCAGCTACATGAAATATGCACATATTTTAGAAGAAGAAAAACAAGTCGCGATGTGTGGCCATCTATAGGAGGTGTGACAATTAAGTAATGAGCTGGAATCGTTATATAGTTGCACAAAGCGACTACTTTGAAAGGGATGGCGGAGTTGTAAAATAATTTTGAAATATATGGTTTTATGGAATCAATCTAATTACTTATTTGTTACACCTCGTATGTGACCTGCTCCTAAGTATGAATATTCTATAATCATCAGTTCCTATTTATCGAAAAAGTATAACATTGCGTTCGCGCCGGACTTCTTAACCGATTGTCTAAATTGAAATTATATATGTATATTCCAAAGTTAGCTTGACAGTTCAGTATAACCAGAAATTTCGAATTTGCTACCAGGTTAACACCATTAAAAGAAGTAAGAGAAAACGTATTCCACCGTACTACGGGTCACATTGGCTCAAAATTATAATAATAAAAGGCCCAACGAATACCCTCCACCAACCCAACCGACCTTAGAGGTGACATCCGAATAACGTGCGAAGTATGCCGAGTGATGACTGGGAAACATTTGTTAAATGTCGAGATTTAAATCTGTTCAGCTATAGAAAAAATAATTATTCAACAACCGAAACTTAGTAGTCAAGGAATTTTAAAATTAATTTCTTGATGCAAATTGATCCGTTGAGAAGTTTCACTACAAACAATGCGCCCAACATGTCTCCACAACTTGAAAGAGTAGGTAGATTTAAAAGCTTTGAACGGTTCTTGTAGGGAGAAGATTTATCGTAGAGTTCCATCGGAAATGCCTTAATCTCAAAATTAAAATTTTTTTTTTTGACTAGTCCAATAAAAAATCTTTAGAATTCCATCCAATTTAAAATATTTCATCGATTACATGCATTTAATGTATAACGTAATATTTGCTTTAAGGTAAGTTATCAAATTAATGCTTCATATTTTTGTATAAATATTTACAATATAAACTTTTATCTCTAAGATTTGCTAATATAATAAATAATAAAAGTATAGGGTTCTTGAGAAATGCTATTTTGAAAATATCACTGAGAATATTACTGCTGTAACCAATAGTGTTTCAGATACCCCAGATTTTTCCATTCCTCGTCGTTCTTTGGGTAATGACTTGATTCATAAGGCTTATCAAATTTAGTTTACTCAAGAAGTCCATACGGTCGATCGTCAACAACGTCCTGTCTTCGCTTGATTGTCAACTTGACTGATGAAACTCAAGATTTGTTGTTGAAAAACATCTCCATCCTAAACGTGTAATTGAATGGTACTGATGTAGACAATCTTTTAAAGGAAAAGTTTCCAGACCGTGGTATATCTCGTAGAGGTGATCGCAGTTTGCCACCGAGATCTTGTGGCTTAACTTCTTATTCAGGGCATACTGCACCTACTTTCTGATTTGGTGATGGAAAATTTTATAAAAGATTACGATTCTGTAAGATTACGGTTCCTTTATGACCCATTAATTACATTGATGTAAACATCCTCTCATTTGTCTTCCAGGGATCTTCTCAGACATTTATCACGATAACTTTTTAATTCTTACATTTATTGAACACGTACATTCCATTTAATAGATTAATGAATTAGAATTAATCAACTTGCACATTTATTCACCCACAAACCATTTTACTATCACAAAGCCTGTTAATGAAATTAAGAATTTTGCTTGGCAAGTAGGAAATTAAAAGTTTTCTAAACAAACAAAAAATATACTTCTACAACTAATAAACTTCAACCATTTGTAAATTACTTCCAGCTGGCACACGAAACGGCCAAATAATGAGGAATCCATACAACATTTGTTGGCGACAGGTCGTGCGAAAATTAAGGAAGGCACACTAATTATAACCGCGGTCGATCGGTCCGATAGCGGCGCCTTCTTCTGCACAGCTACCAACTCGGAGGGTAGCGAAACTTTGGAAGTGCTGTTACATCGCAACCACTGCCAGCATACAACCCACCATACAGACGGTAAATCTCGGCAAAACAGCAAACTTGGTAAGTTGGGCGAAATGAAAATTTTCCTCAATTAGTCTAATGATTTTTTGTGATGTGTACTCGTATATGCTTATAGTATATATACAGAGCATTCGAACCAAGATATTTATTTTTATTCTTTTTTAACTTTTTTTCAAGATTTGCAGCATTTCGGGCTTTCCAAAACAAACTATTATATGGCTGAAGGATGGTCACCCATTACGTTCTGGTGCCCTCGTACGTTTACTTTCTACAGAGCATATACGCATTACGTCAATTACGAAAGAGGACAAGGGAATGTATCAGTGTATTGTGAAAAATGACTTGGAATCAACACAAGGCACGGAGGTGAGCAAAATATTTATAATGTGCTAAGTAAAGGAAGCTATACATCTTAAATGACCGTGATACTCCAGTCTTACCTTTTGCAATATACAAATATACATATCAATTAGCTAGGTAGGTAGGAGTGCGCAGGGAAATACCTCAGTCATAAAAGCTCATTGTGACACCACGAAAATTTTTCTCCAGCGCTGTAGTTCCTTTTCTAACCATTTGCTATTGAGATGTTCAATGAATATAAACCATTCGAGGTTTCCGATCTCGTTTACCTTGATTTTGCATACCAATGCTTTCTTTAACTTGTGACTTTTAGGTCGCAAACGTGGTAGCCCGAAGGTATAATAGCTGTGTACCTATCACTGAAGATTGAATATTTCTCTCTGTTTCCGGCTGGAGAATCAAATTTGTTTGTTCCCGTCCTTGAATGACTGTCGTATGGATTATTGAAAGTATATAACCATTGGTCTGCACTGCTCAGTAAAAAAACTATAGTTCTTGAGGATTTTTTTACAGACAGGATGTCAAGAATAACGTTCAGAGCTTAATTTAGAGTTGTTCTAAGTAGAACACCATTTAAGAGTTTCGGTCTCAGTACGGATACATATGTGAATAATATGCTCTTTCTAGCTTTCTAGACTCTCCAAAAAGTATAACCTTAGTTACTACTCTTATTTGATTTCCTTATAGAACTTCTCGACTAATTAATGCAGCCCTGTTGAAGAGGACAATTTTCACTATATTACAGTTAATACAGAGTCAATAGCGATTAGACCACAGCAACGCACTTGCCGTTTTATCCATTGGCTATGTCATCAGTATAAATCCAGCCACCACATCATTCTATTCCGATTAGAAATGAGTTCAAAAGAAATACTGACCTGAGCTGTTCCCCTATAGACATGCCGAATTCCCCACATTCACTATTTTGAATAATGTTGTCCACCACTAGAGTGTTCACACTTAAGCCCTAGTGTAGATTCACCAAAGCAACGATACAACAGGCTTTGCAAAATATCTTCCTTATTTTTTGGCATTGAAATTATGGATTGTGGTAAAAACTTAACAAAAAAGTGCTGAAAATATTCAGCGTGGACAGTTTAAATGATAAATTCCGGAAACTATCTGGTCTTAATGTATATCAGAATATATTTTTGTATACCCTCAAAGTCTAATGGCAGGCGCAAAGTCCGTCCTTGTATGTGTTCCAATGATTCTCATGATGCATTTTCTTGGGTTTATTGAATAGTCTCCGCTATAATTTACAGGGGTCAAGCTCTCTTTGTTGTATTACAATGGCTTTATTTTGGACTAAGTGTTTCGATTATGTCAAGTCCGAAATTAGTTAATTATCTACATCGCTCATCATCCATTGAAAATCCCTCCGTTTAAATGATGTTCCGCTCTACATTGCAGTATCCGTCACCACACTCTAAATTTCTGATCCATTCGCCCTATTTAAGGTTATTCTTTTTAGTGTCAAGCGCTGGGATATGTGCCCTATAATGACGTCATTGTCCCTGCTTTTTGAGTTACGACCGAATGTTTTATAATGTTTTTCTTATAGTGATCCTATTTGCAAATTTCTATAAAAATTTTAGTTTTTACGGCATAAATAAATACATAATGATTACTTTTTGTATTTTGTAGAGGTGGCACCACAACTCATTTATAAATTCATCGAACAAACTATAGAACCAGGACCATCAGTATCGCTGAAATGTAGTGCTAGTGGCAACCCAACACCAAAAATCGTCTGGCACTAAGATGGATTTCCACTGCCAAATGTGAGTATGGAAATACTTTAATATACAATATATATGTATATATAATATATGTATTTGTTAATAGCTAGAAAAATTATTTTCAGTCAAAGTAGATTTTTTATTATTACTATTTAATTTTATTATATTTTTTGCTTAAATTATCAACATTAAGCTTTAACTTATCAACAACATATGAATCTATACGCCATTTATTTATGTCAGCAATGCTAGGTAACTACAATTCCAGCCACAATTAAATATGGTTTTCCTTAACAAAAATAAAAATAAAATAAACGACACTCTCGAAGGCATTGCGCTACATCACTTCATTATCAAAGGATTAAAAAATTGCTAACTCGATTATTTACCTGTCAGTTAGACACTCAGTCAAAGTTACTTCATAGAAGACATGGTGTCTGTGTATTTTTACGTTGCGTCTTCATATTTCAAATTCAATTTTGTCATTTGCGGAAATTGCACATATGTGTACTCCTGTGCATATGTATGTATTGTATGTATGTATGGATGTAGTGTGTGTATAAACATATTCAGGCTCTGAGTGAAGCATCAACGCGAGAATGCCGTCACCAGTAAATTTAAATATGACATACTATGGGGAAAAAGCTAGTCATATTCACAACCTTACTCTTACACGTACATAAACACACACTTCTTGCATACAGCGCAGCAATTTTATTTTCAGACGCTATATGATGGAAAAAGAGTAATGGCAAGAGCATTTGAAACCACTGGGAGTATGAAGTATAAAGTTGAGCTGATGTGGCGGTGACCTGCTCGAGTTTGAGAGTTGGAATTGTCGAAATATCTTCGAATTGCATTATCAACTTCTACATACTTGTGCAACTAAGCTCCAAATGTGAGAAAGAAAGATTATAACCGCATGAAATTAATTGCGTGTGCAAATATTTGTTCGCGTGCGTATGTTCATAACATTTCAGTAATGTAAAGGTTTCTTCATTCCCAACCAACTATCGATAGTGATAAAGCCAGAGAAATATTTTTGGTATGGACAAAAAATTTGATACACTCTTTCTCTCTATTATAAAATAAATTTAAAAAAAAAATTATAAAATGAAACAAAAAATAAAATAAAAAATTAAATTAAATTAAATTGAAAGAAATTAAATAAAATGAAATTAAATAAAATTAACTAAAATGAAGTACCGTAAAATAAAAAAAACAAATGAAATTAAATAAAATTAACTAAAATAAAGTACAATAAAATAAATCAAACTAATATAAATAAAATCAGTAAAATAATATAAAATATTATTAAGTAAAGGAAATCAAAGCAACACAAAATGAAATAATTTGATATATAATAAAATAGAACTATTTGTTATAAATTTGTATAACAAAAATATTTACACAAAAAAAAAACAGGACTTTAGCTCACTAAAAACTTTTCAAAAAATTAATAGAATGATAGCAAAAAACAAACAATTTAATGCAATTTAAATATCGTAATATATACATAAAAGGGAAGTAAAATAGTATAAAACTAAATTGAATCAGAATTAAATGAATAAAACATATTGTCTTGTATTATTATATAGAAATATTAAATGAGAGAAAAAAGTAAAATTTAAAAAACTTAAAGAAATAAAGCAAAAGAAATAAAATTATATTAAGTGAAATAAAATAAACTAAAATTAAGTTACATAAATTAAAATAAAATCAAAGTAAAATAAAATTAAAACGAAATAATAAATTATAAAGATATAAAATAAAAATTAAATAAAAATAAGATTAAATAAAATAAAGTAATATGAAAAAAATAAATAAATAAAATAAGACAAATTAGACCAAATTAAAAAAGATATGAGAGAATGAGATTAGAAGAAAGATTTAATTCAAGTGAACAAAATTAAATTAATAAAATACAGAAAAAAATTAAAACAAATTAAAAGTATAACTTAGTAATAGAATAAAAAACAAGTGAAACAGTGTAGTGTATTAGCGGGTGAGGGAGTAGGGTGAATGTATTCGCTTAAGCAATATGCTCGTATCAAAAATTTTGCGTAACCCACTATATAATTAAAATATTTAATTATAAAAAAAGTGGTGGATATAATAACATTAATAAAAAGTGAAGTTAAATAATCTTATATGACGTAAAATGAAAGAGTGTGGTACAGAATAACCAATTTTTCGGTCTCGGCTATTCTTGGACGGATTTTTTTACCCAAAACCTCTCATCTGAACAAATGGGTGCTGCTAGGTCTATATGATAAATCCGTACAATTTCCATGATTTTAGATGGAAATGCCGATGTATATTACGAATGTAAAAACCTCATATCTAACATATCTGAAAAACTCGTTGTATGGGAGCTTTATGTTATAGGCTATAATTTATAACTTACTTACTTACTTTACTGGCGTAGACACCGCTTACGCGATTATAGCCGATTTACAACAATGCGCAATTCGTTTCTTTTTTTTGCTGTTTGGCTCCAATTGGAAATACCAAGTACAGCCAGCTCCTTCTCTACCTGGTCTGTCCAAGAGAGTGGAGGTCTTCCTCTTCCTCTGCTTCCACCGGTGCTGCATCGAAAACTTTCATAGCTGGAGTATTCGCATACATATGGATCACATGACCTAGCCAGCGTAGCCGCTGCTCCTTGATTCGCTGAACTATATTAATGTCACCTTATAACTCGTACACCTCATCGTTCATCGTCTGCGGTATTCGCTATTGCCTACAGTCAAAGGACCACAAATCTTACGCAAAACTTTTCTTTCGAAATTTCCTACTGCCGTCGGATCAGATGATATCATTGTCCATGATTTCGCACCATATAGCAGGACTGGAATGATGAGGGACTTGTAGAGCTTGGTTTTCGCCCCCCCGGGGAGGACTTAACTTTTCAATTGCCTACTCAGTCCAAAGTAGCACTTGTTGGCGCTGTATTTCAAGGCTGACGTTATTCTGGCTCTTAGATAGACGAAATTATCTACGACTTTAAAGTTATGACTGTCAACGGTGACGTGGGAGCCGAGTCACGAATGCGATGACTGTTTGTGTGATGAAAGCAGACCCATTTGCTTCGCTTCTTTATCAAACCTGGAGAAAGCAGAACTAACGCGCAGTTCTAAGACTTATAGATACTATAATAGTTCGATCATGTCGGTTCTGACAAGATATCAATTAAATATATCAGATATGTCAGTGTGTACTAAGTTTTATAAAATGAAATTAAATAATATTTCAAAAAAAAAAAAAAAACAATATACAATAAACTAAAATAAAGAACCAAATAAAACATGGTAAAAAAAGATTAAGTTACATTAAAGAGCGTAATTTCAAGAGACATTGTTATTACATGTTTAAAATGAAATTCAGTGGAAAAAGATTATATAAGTATTCGGGCTTTCCTATTTAGAAAAGTTATAGTTAGGTAAAATAATCTTGTTAGTATTATTTGGTTATTTTTACTATATAAAATAATTTATTTGATTCAATAGGTATTAGTTTTTGGATTACTTAATCTCGTCGTCTAAGAGCCAGTATCTCTTTTTTTCTTCCTTTCTAAGCCTTTTTTTTATTGTGTACCGTTCTGTGGAAAAGAAGGGCTTTGGCCCCATAGGATAGTTCTCGGTATTTCTCTTGCATGTTCGTCAGCAATTTCATTCCTTTGAATCTCCGGGTATTCAATTTGAGTGATCTGATCATACATCACTGTACCCTTTCTAGTCACTGTTAGGTTTTTTGTTTTTTAAAACTCCTGAACATATGCTTTACCATGCTTATACCAGAAATAACTCATTCCCATTCGTATGCGCTCGCTTTTACTGCCTTTGCATATTTTCACTGCTGCTGATGGCTGCGGTTGAGACAACCAACATGCGAGTATTTTGCTTAACTTCCATTTTGATGCCATGCACGAGATGATACGCAAATTAAAGTCAACTTTAGAGCTTTACGGCGTTCGAATTCTCCAAAGTCTGTGTCTTAAAATGTACCACTCCGAGAGACACAGACGTGTATGAATGTATGCAAAGAAATGCGCCACAACTTTAAAATACCATCAACACTCGTCTAGTGCTACACCGCTGCCGTTGCAATAATGCGAAGGAATACATTGCGATTGCGAAGTTAGCAAGAATGTTGAAGATGCGGCTGCTCTTGGTATGCTGGAGAATGCGTTGAATGCGCTAGTTGCGATGTTGCTTCGGTGCTTTGCGTCCATTCTATTTCTTTGCTTTGTTTGTGGCGTCGGAGAGCATACAGTGAATGTGCGTTCAGCCATATTCTCTTTGCGGATTTAATTGTTGTTGATGTGGTTTCCAAAATTGCTTAAGCTCAACTCTAGTTATATNAGGCCTGGCCCAAGGTTTGTTGCATGTCCTACGTATCAGTGGCAAAACCAATGCACTTTTCCATGCCAAGTGAAACTGTTAATGCCATCTTCAATATCATACAACTCGATTTAATGGTGCATTGGTCGAAGGCATTAGCAGAACTTTTTATAAGTAAATGAAGCCAATAGGGATACTCAAATTTTGGGCACTCAGCAGGACCAAAAAATATACTTTCTCACCACGCATCTTAGACTCATTTGGTTGAATGTAATTTGGCGAAATATTTACGGATGAATTAAAACTTAAGAGGAGAATCAGTGGTGGTGAATTCTCACGAAATCCTCCATATAACTTTGATTCAGCTCACGCCAATGGAACATTATATAACAAACCCAGCTTTTAAGTTTTATGCTTAGACATTTTAAAATCACATTTCTTAATGACAGCTAACTAACGTGGGAATAAAGGGAATCGAATAGGTTGGAAATTAGAGCCCAATGGGCAGAAACTTGGGGCATGGGACATCACAACGAATCTTATTCAGACCTAAGTATAATAGATGTGATTCACCCTTTACTAATTAATAATAACGCTAATTTAACATACATGTACATATTCTTCTACTCCTCATCCAAATAGTGATGTTCCATGAAAGACCAGTCGGGGGATATGTATCAGGTTATACTATTTAAAATACCAGCATAAAGAGAAGTTAACCTAAGAATTTTTTTGTATTCTGCAAATTATTAATACTTACTGGCCTTTAGTTATTATAGGACTAGAGACCTGACTAGGTGATTTGAGGAGTACAAAAGAGATACTCTGTACACCTGAATAATGTACTTGCTGATTGAAATAGAAAATTCTCAAGAATTATATATTAATAAGCTCTTTTCAAATCTTCTATCTCTCGCATTAATAATTTTATCAAATGGATGGATTAATTCTTGACCTAAAACATTGATGAGTAATAAAGATGGAACTCCTCATTATACTTTTCCCTACATTTAGACCATTGGCAGTCCTTGGAGTCGCAAGAGTCTGGAATTTTTACAGAAATTTTTTGGAAAAGTAAAGGAAGAACCAATCGTTTGTCATGTTTCATGTGCATAATACTGTGCAGGATTTTAATGTGGATTCAAAGAAATATATTTCCATTTAAAAACTTCGACTCTTCGTGAAACACATTGCATTCAATTGTGGTTGATTCTGGTTCGGCGAGCATCAGAACAGCTTTGGGAGTTTTTCTAGACAATCCTCATTTATGCTTGCAAGTGATTGCTTTATGTTTTTTTTGCGATTGCCCACTAACATATGACAGCGTGTTCAGAACGGCAACTTGCTCATGAAGAATGTGCAACGTACTGTCGATCAGGATACATGCACTTGCGTTGCCCGCACCAATCACAACTACACAGCGCAGCGTACGGTGGAGATGAAAGCTTTGGGTGAGTGTTAAAATAGTATGCAGTTAAATCAGGGAGCTTTTCTCGTTGGTATTGGTATTTCAATCAACATTTCGGGTTATTTTTGTTTATGTTAGGTTGCGGTTGTGCGGCAAATTTGGAAATTTTAACAGTTAATGTAAAACCGCAAAGCGATGAAATGTTGTGTACGGCACGCCAACACAAACTACTAAGTGCTGCTGGGTAAAAATTTTGAAATATCGATAAAACAACAATAACTCTGTGGTAAACTAATTGGAGAGTTATTTCAAAACTGTATTCATCTGAGTATACATTTGTGGATACGTGGATGTTCTTATCTCCTTTTATATATTTTGATGAAGAGTCCACTTTATTAATGTGAGGCATAATTAATGATGACGATATGGTCGCTCGGGCAGTATTTCCAGAATATTTTCAATAAACGATACATACTCGTCTGTATAGGATTACCCATTTCGTGGTTTCATAAGAACAGGGCAATACGTTGACATCTGGTAAACTTAATTCTCAAACGAAACATGCTTTGTTTTAGATTAAAATCAGGCATTTATCGTTATTTCATGTGAAAGTGTAGCGGAAGAGCCGGATGTGTCTATTTCGCGCCGTTCTATGAGCTCGGATTTTCTTACGGCACTTTTGACTTACGCTCATAAGCTCAAGCTTTTCTTCAACCACGAGACATATTTCGCACTAGGGGGATTCGCAAATGAGAAAAATTGCTACTTTTCCGAAGATTCTCAAATATTCGAAAAGAGGCCTATACGCCTAAAAGAACTTACTCGTTGCACACCCTTCTTTGAGCCAAATGACTCATTGGACTTATTTCTTTGAAAACGACAACAGCAAGACTGTCACTGTCAAACCGGAGCATTATAGACGTATGATAACCGCCTGGTTTGTCCCGTAACTAAAAAGCGCGATTTGGAAAGTATCTGGTTTCATCAAGATGATGTAACATGGCCCAAATCACGAGGGACTATGGCTTTATAGCGAGAGAAATTTCCCAACCGTGCAATCTCTTTCCTGGGCGATTGACCACCAAGATCGTGTGGTTTGACACCGTTAAAATGTTCTTGAGGGGCGTCGAAAAGGACAATGTTTAAGCGGTTCGAAGTTTTCAAACATACGGTCAATTGAATTATGTAAATAATGGCAAAGTTCAAGGGGATACCATGTGCATGCGATAGTCTTCGGCTTGTGAGTTTTCTACAAGGATGATTAACAATGTTAAAAAAGCTTATAAAGTAGACAAAGCGTGCCGTTGGGATTAATCATGAAACTTGGGTGCGATGAAAATAAATTGATTTGAAGAAACCTATTCAAGGAATTGTCCTTGTTAAGGGATTATGTCACTTCTTCTTTCGCAATTTTACGCTAATTAGAAACACATAAAGAGTACAAGTATACTTCCTTTTAAAAATGATCCTTTCCACGGAATTAAATTTTCCTTTTTATATGTTTCCATTTTCTATTGTTAAATCTCACTCAAATTTCTGATGATCTTATAATAAAGTCCCATTTACATATCTATCTTTGCAGATGACGAGCAAGGGACTCAACAAGATGCCGGTTGTTTGGCCGCCTGCACCCCTGAATTGTGTCTTCATTTCATGCGATGTATACTCGTGAGCGCTATGACATCCAACACTACCGGAGCGTGTGAGTCAGAAGCCAGTTGCCGTCGGCGTGGACTTTCTCACCATATTCGTCTCCACCAAGAGCAACATCAACACCAATCTCTGCGTGAAAAGGTGCGTGCTTAAATAATCATGAGGTCAACTCAACAGCGTGCAAAACAGCTACGACTATTGGTTGTTGATGGGCGAAAGGCCATCAAACAACTGGAAAAGAAGCTACTCCAACTGGCATCGTGGCAGGGGCACCATGTTGAGGGAATGAGCACTTAAAGGGTTAAGGTAGAACCCCAAACGCCAGAAGGTTGGCAACTTGCCTTCATGCACCATGGCTCTTTGACCTACATGCTTTTAATTTTTATTTCAATCTAAAACCTGATGGTTGGTGACTACAAGCCATAAACTATAACAAAATAAGCTAGAGTATAAAATTCATAAAATTGTAATTTCGTTTAAAATAATTTTCAATAATAATTTACCCTATCTGACATTGTATTATTGTATAAATAAATAAACAAAAAAGCAATTAAACTTAGTACATATGAAAAAATTAGAATTCTCTATATTCTTTCGTTTGGAAGTACTAATTCCCAAGTATTTTTAAGTTTTGGAAAATGTTGGATAAAGGATGATTTTCAAGCTGTTATCTTTTTGGCAGAACAGGCTTAAACAACTGACGCACGTTTCGTGTTTTGTATCACTGTCAAACATCTTCAGTTTGGTGTATAATTTAACCATGAATCGTCTTACCAAAGAACACTGATTGCAGTTTATTGAATTTTATTATCAATATGTTAAAAAGTTCATCACAAGCTTCTTCCGCGTGCGTCTCGAAACTCATTTTTGGCTTAGTGCATAAAAAATCAGAATTGTCGATTTTGGAGTGCAGATTAGCCAGAAGTATTGCAAGAGCTACCAATGCATCCATAAAAAGTCACAGTTTGGTGCGGTTTATGGGCTGGTGGCATTATTGGACCATAGTTCCTCAAAGATGATGCGAATCGTAACGTAACTGTGATTTGTGAGCGCTACCGTAAGGTGATATCAAACTTTTTTTGGTCCATAATGCAAGAGCTTGACTTGCATGACATGTGGTGAATATTTTATTTCACGTTCGGGTCCGGTCAATTGGCCGCCTAGATCATGCGATTTCATGCCTTTAGACTATTTTAAGTTAAATCTTATGTCTATACAGACAAGCCCGCTTCAATTTTCGCATTGGAGGACAATATTGAAGAACATATATTCGTGAGATACCGGACGAAATGTTGGAAGGGGTATGCCAAAATTGGACTAGGAGGATGGACCATTTGAGGCGCAGTCACGGTCAACGTTTGCATTAAATAATCTTCAAACATTAAATTAAATGGACCATGCTATCGATTTAAATATATACGAGGATGTCATGCATATTTATGAATTTATATGATTTTTTTTGAACAACTTTCCTCGTCCTTCATAAGTTTTAATACAGTAAGTATTTCTCCCAGTACATTATATTTAACCTGACACAGACTGGCCAACCCTACTTTTGTGTATTTATCAGGGTTGAATTTGATTTCAATTAGCAGGCACTGGGTTTTTTCTTGGCTCTAATGAGGACAAATTGAATAAAACGGGTCTTAGTAGTAGTTGTTTCGATTAAAGCGGCATCGCTACTTATTATAAAAGTCAGCTGACTGAGTAGATTTGAACCCATCACATGAAAAACAACATTCAGTGAAAAATTTAAACTAGCGTCGGATGTGAGACCCCCCCCTTTTTGATGACGACCCTCGCAAACCTCTTAAGGGGTGGTATAGATACCGCGAGCCGAAGAGGAAAGCAAAACGAATTTGTAGGGAAAAAAGAAAGAATTCGGAATGCGTGAGTACGAGGAGCTTGAGAAACTGGCCGACAAGGGTAACGCTCGAAAATTCTACGGAAAGATACGGCAACTTACGGAATATAATCAATGTCGGAGAAAGTTCTTGTAGGACCCAGAGCGATGATCTAGTAACGGATGCCCAGAGTATACTGAATCTACGAAAGGAACACTTCTCCATCATTCTGAATGACAGTAAAAATTAAGCACCCGGGGAAGGTGAACCCGAAACTCCAACTGATGACAATGGAAAAGTTGTTCCATTATCTGACTATGAAGAAGTCCGATTTACCAATGGATTACCGGCGGAGCTATACAAATCCGGCGGTAAAGAACTGATCAGATGCATGCATCAGCTTCTTGGCAAAATATTGTCAGATGCCGATTGGAACCTAAGTGTGGTCTAACCGATCCACAAAAAAAACGAGCTCAGGTGGAGAGTGACCTGGCTTCCCTAGTTATTTCCAACTAGCGCCAGACAGCGAAAAGATGTGAGGAATGGCGCACTAATATCGATTCGGCTGTAATCGCGTAAGCGGTGCCAACACCAATAAAGAAGAAGAATTATTTTCTACATATTTTTTTTTTTTTTATTATCATTTATCTAATATTTATTATCAAATATTTAATTTTTTTTATTTAGCTCCTTATATGCATGTATGGTTTACTATTTATTAGCCATAACTCTGTTTTTGTTATTTTTTTTTTGAATATTTATTTTCGTTATTATCTTTCATTTTATTTATAGTAATTAATTTTTGTTAAATATTTGATATTTCTTTATTACCACTTATATATTTACTATTTATTNAAATATTAAACGAAAAAAAATATTTAAAAATATATGCACAATATAAATAAACTTACCTTAAAATAGCGCACATCAAATAAACAAAAATCTTGTTATAAAAAAATATAAATACAACACTTTTTAGTGCACATAAAATTGCCATAAAATACTTCGCATCTAAAGATTGCATTTGTACAAAACGACATTCCAAACCTATGAAAGTATGAATGCAGATCCTGCTCACATCCAATTCCATGTCAAAATATTTATTTCCTCCATATCCATATTTCCTTGCGCACTTTTTTCATTACGTCATACTCACACTGCATTAAAAAAACAAGGGATTATTTTATGTCATCACGGGAGTCCTTTCATTAGCATATGCATTTCAAGTTTTATTTTGGGTTGTCACATCGACACACACACATACACATTTGGCGTCTCTGATATCAAGGTTTGCATGATAAGTACGTCGTTCAAAGCTGAATTACAATTTCAAAATCCTCATAACTGATTTTCTGCATGAAAAGCTTAAATCGATGCAGTAAACTCTGTCTAATAACGGTTTTCACTTATGACCACATAAAGCCTTCAAATTGTTTAGTACTGGTTTAAAGAATAGGGATGATCATTGGATTCTACTTTTTTGGTAGAATCTTACTAAGAGTGCCCGTTATCATAACTCCTCCTGGACCCTAGCTGGTTCCCGAGGGAATACTAAAATCTTAGATAATCTGGTAGTAGATACAGTAATGCCAACAAACTAGTCAGCTCGTCCGAATTTCCTTAGACATTTTACAACTACATGATTAGGTATCGCAGTGTATTTGCAGTGATAGTCTGTTGATTATTTTTCCAGTAAACCGGTTGTCCATCCGACTCCTACACAGTTAGCAGACGAAGCAACCTTGGCCATTGGAGCGGTTGAAGGAGAATTTGCTTTTGTGCATTTAGATAACTACATCTTCGGTATTGGACTTGTTTTTTACACAGTGTTATCATCTTCTGTATTCATCCATGTCATTAACAGTTAAAGGAGAAAATCTTCAAAATCCTTTGTCGAGGCGGTCCTCATAGCATCGGATATACCCAGTAAAGAGAAGCTTTAAACCTGTTTTCTTTTTCAGAAGCTCTTGCCATACTACTCTTTCGTATTTTAATATGTATCTCACATGCTGGGCTTTTGCGACAATAGAATTATTACTAGGCTCACTACCCTCGCGATGAGAAGTCATCTGGATATCACACAGACTTTTATGTTTATTGTTATCTCTCTTTCTGCTATGTAGATCAAGAGCTGCATAAAATTTAATTACGAGTTTCTAATTATTCCCTTCTATCTTAAATACAACTGCTAAGCTATCACACAAGCTTCTTTTTCTAACGCCCCTACTCATATCGGCGAAAACCTTTAGAGTGATCTACTTATGACTCTATTTATAAATAAATACGTATAAATTCATTGAATTGTAAGGTTGACGGCCAAATGGTTAACATTGCGTGCTGCGATTCTTAAGGCCAGAGTTCGAGTCCTGGTACGAACAGTTGCCAAATTATAAAAAAATATATTTTATAATCACAGTCGACTCTTGGCAAGGTATCAGTTCGCCAGGTGTTACTGTTACTTCCAAGAGATTGTCCTGCTCGATATTATTTTAGAATCCATGGTACTTCAAGTTCAATAGAGAAGCACCGAATACTATACGCCTTTAAATGCAATACTTAGCCAGTATCAATAAGTATAGTTCAATATAGCTCGATCTGGCTAGTACTTATTCTTATGAAGAGCTCAGAAACATATAAATATATCGTATATAATTTCTAGGATGAAATTTATCAAAAAATATTTCTGTTCTCTTTTTAATAGATTTGGCTTGGAATTATACCACATTCTGAATTAGCTGCATCAAAAGTTTTCTCGCTGGAGACTGTGGAATGGAATGACCATATATAGCTTACTTAGTTGAAAACTTTTAATAAAAAAACATTTTCTCTTTAAGCATACTCAGCTACTTACTAGCAATATGACTATTGTCTTACAGTGCAATTTATTATTCAAATTGCTTTAAGTAAATTAGTACATCAACGAACAACAGGAAAATCAACTTTAACATCTTTGTTCTGTCTTTCCGTTCTGATGCCCTTTTTATTGACTAGGAGTATTGAAAGAATTTCTATGATGTTTTTGAATAGTGGAAGGATTATATTTCTAACAAGAAAACATTTTTAGGAAGATTAAACATAGAAACTAAAGTTTTATAGAGAGATGCATATTGGTTGAACTCAAGGAGCAATACCAACATTTCATGTCTAGTGTATAAGTTTAAGTATCTATGTATCTTAGATCTGAACTAAAATTTCTTTAGATCTTTGGTATATTTTGGAATAATATCACACTTATTACTTTCGTACTTAACAAGCGTAGCTTTAATACACCACCTTCAATTAGCTATTACTTGATTACCTTGATTTTTTTACACCAGTTTTTCTCGATTTTATAGTTTTAATTTAAACTACTTTTCTTTTTCTGTACGTATGTTCTGTATGTAGCATGCCTTAAGACCTTTTTTTGCAATCATCTGGCAAATTTAGCTTTTATTTTATTATAAAAATGAAAATATGAATTTCAGAATTGCAATATTTTATATATTGTATAATTTAATAAATTTAACAGAAACATTTTACTCATACGCTACGGCAAACACGCTTTAATATTATAAACGTCTTATTATGAAATTCAACGCTAAAATAGAGTTTCAGATATTTGTAGTAAACAGAAAAAAGAATACTCATTGATTATTATTAATCTCAACAAAA